ACTGAGTTTAAGTCGGGGTGCTTTTGAAGCGATCTCCACACCCCTGGGTATTTAATCCAGACTTTAGTCTCAGAAATTCCAAACATTTGCATTCTAGGCTTTGCCATTAGAACTCTAGTTTCTACCGTCTCAGTTAGTCTCCAGTGAACTCACTACAAACACAGTTAGGTGGCTATACTAGACCGTTAGATGCCGTTTGGGCGCGACTAACACTAAAGGAATTACACCTTTAGAGGATTTAAAGTCTCCTAGACAGGAAATGCAATCATGTACACTACACAAAACACTATTTTTGTCTTTTTCTTTTCTTTTTTTTTATGCTTTTTTTTTTTAAAGACAAAAACAATAGCACACAATATATCTATATATTTGTTAAACCAAAAACAAAAGCCTTTTCCCCCAACTTAAATGACAATGGCCTCAATGACATATACCAAAAAGGACCGATAAGAACAATAAAAGGAAAGGGAATTAAAACACAATAAAATATACATCCCTGAAATGCAGATAAAGATGTCCCCCAACTGGAAGGAAACTATACCTACCAAAAGGGTTAGAAAATAAACACAACAAATTTTTTTTTTTGGATCCAAGGCTTCATGTTGATCTTCTTTTAAGTAATCTACCTCGAACCAAATTTGTTATGTTGTACTCAGTAGTTCTATTCAAAGGTGTACTCATCTATTTGGCCCTGACACACCACACTGAAAACATACAAAATAATAAATAAAGAACTAAAACTAAAATGCTCAAGTTTCCTCCCGAGAAGAGTTAAATATATATGTCTTCAACCAAATATCAACACAAACTTATTTTTTCCTTTTCTTCCAATTTATGAGATATGGATCCCTGTAACGAAAATAAATTAACCCGTCCAATAGTGCGGGACTAGGTTGTAAATGACTTATGGAAGGATGATTAACATAGTGGAGAAATATGTGTATGAAAAGTATAGTGTGTAAAGAAATCTCATGGGTGGAAATAATAAAATCAAAACAAAAATAAAATCTCACCCATGCTGATTTACTTTATCACTACAATTTTCTGCAGTTAAAGCCCTATCAATTTTGTCCACATGAGAGGCCAAAACTATGGAGAGAGTTTTAGTCATATCTTTGGATGCAACGATAGGCTCAAGTGACAAAAATACTAACTCCACATCAATTGTTAGATCACTGGAGAGATGTGTTATGGCTTCACTAAGTTCAATTTGCAACTCTTTTTCGAAAATCTCACAGAATGCACTCTTATGAAAGTCTTAAACAAGTTGGTCAAAAGAAATCCACACCTCGGATGGGAACATCTCAAAATTTTCAGTTGACCACATTATGTCTACAAATTGACCTATTTGAGAGTTCAACCCATTGTAAAAGAAAGCAATGAGTTGAATCATTTTGTAGCCATGTTGTGGACAAGTATCTACATAGCTCTTGTATCGTTCCCAACAATGAAAAAATAACTCATCTGTTTCCTGACTGAAATTTAATATTTTTCTTTTGAGAAGAGTGAGGTCAGATGGAGGTTGTGATTCTCTCCATTTAAAATAAGCCAACATATTTACCCAATTCAGGGCGACAAGAACAACGCCTGTGCATACACCACTCTCATAGCCACACTAAGTTCCGACTCTTGTGTGCTAAGTTATGAAAGCAAAATACCAAAGAAGAAAATACTCACAGCGACTTAACGAAAACCCTTTACTCATCTTGTAGGTGCTTGACGTATATACCGTTGTCTCCAATCTCCACTTGAGCTCTCTATTTTTAGCACTTTGGTGCTTTGCTTGCGAGTATTTGCTTCTTTCTTCTTTTTTTTTAAACATTTTAGTTTTGCGGTTTGCTTTGAAAGTTCAGTTGCGCTCCGCTTGCACTTCGGTGATAGCTCCACTTGTAAAAACTCTGCACACTTAGCAATACTAAAATATAAAATCCTAAACTAAAAATTAAAATAAGAATATAACTTTAAATTAATTAATTTCACCAGAAGTCCCGGGCAACGGCGCCAAAATTTGATAGGTCTTTTTCACACACCAAAAATAAACACTAAACTATACCGAATTTCTTAGAATAACGGTAAGTTCATGTATCGATCCACAAAGACAAACAGGAAATTAAGCTAATTTAATTGTTAAATTCCTAAGTTAATTTTGATAAAAAGATTGAGGGATATCATGACTAAATGAGAATTAAATGAAATTGAGAAATTGAATTAACAATTAAAAGTATAGTTTGAGATACTGATTTTTGGAAAAATCTTAGGGCAAAGAATTCACCACTAACCACATAAATAAGACTTAACATCGGTCATCAACTGTAATCCGGTTTGAACTACCTAATATTTCAAGACTACAAATTTGAAACATTGATCAAGAGGATCATTGCATTCAACGTATAGGCACGAATCATCCCAAGTAGCACGAGTCATTTGCTCTAAACTATAGTAACAACATGACCCGTCTCTCGTAGCATGACTCGTCTCATACTTTGAACACAAATACAAAGAAAACTAATGTATGGAAAGCATTAAAAAATCACAGAGAATAAAATACTTGAAGAGATGAAAAGGAAAACTATTATAAACTTCTAAAACTACCATACATTTATTCAAACCGTTTCACAATCAAAGCCTAAGAAAAATCTCTTTACATGACTAGGGTTTCATCAAAACCCTAGAAATAGTAGCCTAGCTATTCATGAAGGAGTGAGAAGAGGTGAAGGAAGAAGAAGCCACCATGAGAGACATTTTTCAAACTTCAAGTTCGTTTTCTTCCAAACCCTAGCCCCTCTCTCCATTTCCTCTAAAATATTTTCAAACCCTAAGAGCAGCTTATTTTCTTCCTTTTATTCTGAGCAGAACAGACTAAAATTTTTGCATACGTAACCCTAGGTGGGCCACTCGAGCGGCCCTAATTTCCACTCGAGTGATGGTGGGCCACACGTGCGGTGGATCCTGGCTGCACGTGCAGTGCAGTGGCAGGCCTAGGATTTTCACTACTCGCACGGAGAATCTGCTTTTGCACTACTTTTTGCTTGAATTTGCGTGTTGCCTGCCAAATTTGTACAAGTGCACAAAGCACATCATCTCCACCAAATAAACAAAATTCAAAGACTATAAATGTAACTTAAGTGGCCTCAATGTGGTACCTTTCGGTCTACATCATTTCACTATTGTTTGCCTGTCCGAGCTGCTGAAGTATCATTCTATCATGTCCTCAATAGAATTCATTCACATTCATCTAATCAAGTCTCTCTATGTGATCAAGACAATTATGAATACTCTTACACAAACTCCACTTCTTGCCCACTCATTTGAGTCCACTTTGCATTCTAATTTATCCTTCGACACTGCTAATCTCAAGATGGACAAAGATGAAGTGCTTGTTGTGGATGTTTCACACCAACTAAAGAAACATATTTGATGAGACAATAGTCGCAAGCAGGCCAATGGATGTTGTTCTAAACTTGATCAAAGCAATTAATCTTGATATTTCAACTATGGGATTTCTAATGGAGCTTACAATTCTCCGTTCTTCAACACCGGATTCTGGAAAGCACTCTTCCATTTCTCAACATTGTTCAATATGTTCGACACAAATGTACCCCGTGAATATCAAGAGAATTGGAACCTCAAAGGCAAGATACATACAAGAAGTGGCAAATCAGGAACCTCAAAGCTGGGCTCAAAACAGCTTCCATTAGACTAGGAGATAATGAAAAAAGTGAAGACAAAGTTACAGTCGAATTACCACGAAGATTTTGTTGTGTACGAGGCCATCCACTGATTTGCTACAGGGATTGAAAGGTCGAGCAATCTATGCTCTTTCCTAGTGGAAAACAATGTGAGAAAGACCCAAACATTGAATCAAATGGGTATGCCTAGCAACTAAATGTAGATATTTTTATGTTAATTTAACTTATGTATTTTATTATTTTTGTAGTATTAATTGGAGGTGCTTACATTTTGGTGAAACAAAGGTGTTGGACAATTCTCAACACATGTCAGACACTCTTCCAAACGTATCATATTATTTTTTAAGTTGTTTTAGAACCAGACACCCTTCTAAAACTTGTGTGACACAAGTCGATTGCATATGCACATAAAAACTAAGTGTAGTTTGGAAAAAAATAACTTAGGATACAATGATAAAAACAAAACAAGATAAAAATTAAAAATTAAAAATAAGAAGAAAAAAAAACAATGTAGATCTAAGAATTCATGTTATATTGTATTTTTTTTTTATTCTCTTCGAATAATATATTCATATATTTGGCATTTAACAAATATATAAAATCAAAACAACTTGTCACTTGCTATATGATGATTGACATATCACTTACAAGAATGTTATCTCTGTCATCTGAAAGAATCAAAATAGATAGTGACAATTAACATTTGAAATGGATCCAGCTTCTTCTGCTTGGGGATCTGAAATTTTAGACCAACCAAACAACTAGAATACATGTCAGTACACACAAGCACCCATATGTTCAAATATGTTTGACATAGAATAAAAGTGTATTTCTAGTTTTCAGAAATACTACAAACCCATGCTGTGAAACAATACATTATTTACTACTACCAATAGTTTCCTTTTTCAATGCTTGATTCAACACCAAATGATTCATTGGTTTTGATCACCAATATGTAATAAAATAACGCCACTGCATTACTTTGCATCAATTACAAGACTATAATTGCATTGTTAAATTATGTTAAAATTATAGTGACCTAGCATCAAACACTAAACAGACTAACGAAGGGATTACAAAGATGAAGCTCTAAAAAGAGTGGCATTCAAGGATTGGTGGGATCGTGAATAAGACAATGGGAAAACAAATTAACCCTTCTAATAAAATAATTCAAGAATCATGACTACGGAAAACTAATTGAATGATAATGATATTCTTACAAGAAGGTTACAAGTTACAGCAATTCTTAGAATCTTAAAAGCATATAGAAATTAAATTCACATGACTCTAAAAGTAATCACCTGATAGTACTCAATCTCCTTTCTTTTGACCTTTTGGAGGTCTTAGAACACTCCAACCTAGCTTTTCACGCTTTGGTTGCTTGTGAGAACTTCTACTATTATTTGGCGATGATTCTTGATCAACTTGAACATTTTTCTGCGATTTATTTGGATACTGTGTTTTAGAAACTACTTCGGCTTGCTTCCTTTTTAGTTCTCCATTGGCATCGTCTTCTCTGTAATAATTAAAAGATAGACTATTCAAAAGATGTGTTGGTAAAAGATGAAATGTCTCAAGAGAACTTGGGTTCGTGTGTGTGTGTGTGAATTACATATGTATTCATTGATCTGTGTGCAACGTATCCAGCATCAACGAGCTCAAAGTATCAACCATAACTCTATTCTAAATTGCTTTGAATACGTGATTAAATCATGAATTTTATGGGATTTAACATTTATCGCTTCTATTAACTATATTATATTCTATAGCATATTCTCTGTATAGATATGCCTTATCTGTGTAGTACAGTATATTCTCTATATATACTTATCTTCTCTCATATATAAAGGAGTATGTACTATTCATTGATTATTAAATTGAATACAAGAGTTTTCTCTCTTCTCTTCATTCCTCTCTCTTTATAATATCATAACATGGTATCAGAGCCAATGCTCTTTTCCTAAGCCGCCTTCGGCACACCACCTTTATTTTTCCGATGTTCCAAACTGTCTCTGGCGCACCACGTTCTCCTTCAAATATTTATGTCTCTGTTCCCAGTTCTTTCTACCTAAAACCCAAAATAACTGGCACAGAGACCTTTCTTATCACTCCATGAATATGTCGGCACCAAACCAGCACCAGAATCACTTCTAACGCGCTCTCACACGCCTCCAGAAGCCTCAACATGTCATTTTCAGTGTTACCACGCATTCACGTGCTGACACGCACTCTAGGGTGTTTGTTTGATCTGTCACACGCTCTTACGTTCGCATCTCAACCGTGTCCTGCTAACCTCAACACGACGTCAGCCCTATTGTTCAACCATTTGTCGCCACTTCCGTCAGCTACTAACGTGCGCTGCGCCTTCTTTACTACACTGCGTCGCGCCTTAGCCATGCTAATGTGAGTCGCGCCTTTACCAATATCAACTTCCCTCTTGCTGACGTCAGCCCTGTATTCTGTTTGGCCAAAATTCAATTTTTGGCTTGTTTCACCTATTTTCTGCAAAATGATCATTTTGGTGCACTCTATTTTCTGCACGCTGGTCATTTTTCCGAATTCATTAGTGCATTCTGTTTTATCTGGTTCTACCACGTCATCACTGGTTCCCTTTTGTAATTCATTATTTAATCACCTCATGGCTCATTTAGATAGTTATCCTCAGCTGTAGACACCCCATTTTTGACCGCCCGCAAGACTTGGGCTCTTTGTCCTGAGCACTCAATGATGAGAGTTACGTTGTCAATGGTTCGAATTCTCAACGAAGGAATCTGATTTTTAGCCCTAGAAAATCTCAACCTTCCATACCCAAGCTGTTTCTTTGCCTACATACCACAAAAATCCATTTTTCAACACCATGCAAACCTACACTGAGCCTGAACTAGAGGAATAGGGGAGCCACATCGGGGCTCGGCCGTGCCTCATTTGGGCCCGGCGGTGCCTTTTGGGTGAGAAACACTGTTCTGGGTGGGAATCCACTAGTTGTCTATTTTTGAAGATATTTATGACCTATTTGGCTCAAATTCTATAAATATGAGCATATATCTCTGTTTTGAGGGTTAGAAAAATTTTAAAGAAGCCAAAATACCTTCGAGAGCTCCTTCTTTCTTTGCAAGCTAGCTTTGTGATATTATATCATCCTTAGGCTATATATATACAGCATGCACTCTTAGAGCTGAACCTTGGAGCCTTGGTTGAGCCTTGAGAATCATAATTCAACTTGAGAGTGTGCTAGGATCAAGTTTGGTTTACAAGCAAAGCTTCTTCAAGAGGTATAAGCTTGTCACCTTCCTTTTTGCTTTCATTTCAATCCTTTTTCATCTTGTTCTTGTGTTTTTGTGTTGTTTTGGATCCATTTCAAGTGGTGGAACTTGGGGTTGAATAGCTACCAAAGGTAGAGAGGCTTAACACCCATTCTTGCATCTTACTTCATTACTCATTCCCTTTGTTCTACCACTATTTTTCTTGGCTTACAAACTGATTTTCAGAGTTTAAAAATGCTATAAAACATGTTTAGAAGTCTCAAAAGTAGAGGGGTTAGCCACCCCTCCTTGCTCTTGTTTACTAGTTTTGTGTTTCCTTGTCCTTACCTACCTTTTTGTGCTTTTAAACATACTTTTAATCTACTATTTTTTTATGTTATAGGGGCTGTTTAGGGCTGTTTAGGGTTGTTTTAATTTATTTAATTAGTCTACACTTTGAATACTTTGCTTGTTGTGTTGTACGTCCTCATGGCTTCGGTCGTTTAGGCTTTAGACACCGAGTCATTCGAGTTGATAGCCTTCTTTACCTTCATTTTATGTAAAGAGTCCCACTTTTGGTAATAATCAACTTCGCATAATCATTTATGCATCCTCCCTTCTTTCTTGGTTTTCTTTGTTTGAGAGTTATTTCAAGCAATTAATTGTTATTCGAGGCATGAGAAAGAGACCTCCTATGCTCAATGGCTTAATCTCTTCAGAGGTTCATTGTTAAGGCATGGTCTCTTTTTCATGCTAAGGATCACTTCTCGTTTGACATTTCTCTTCATTTAGTGGACTTAAATATCACTTTGGGATAAAATGATTAAAGAATGGAAAGGTGGTAGCTATTCTAAACCCTCCACAATATACAGTCGAGATCAGTCTTCAGCACATTTTGCATCTACTACAGTTGCCTCTGGTTTCATCATCTGTGGTTACCCCGTCACCACCCTACACTCTTCAACACGTTGAAGCTATTTTCAAAATGGTTATTTCCACCTTTGGTACACCCTCTACTGTCCTCTCAGTTGCTCTAGGTACCTCTTCTTGGTATTTTGATTCCGCTTGTTGCAACCATATAACCTCTGACCCTACACTTTTCTCCTCTACTACATCTTCTTCTACGTTACCTGTTATTCACACTATTGATAGCTCTCAAATGCATGTTAGTCATATAGGTCATATTTCCATCTTTACTGTTTCTCTACCCCACACTTATCTGATCCCAAATCTTACACTTAATCTTGTTTGAGTTGGTCAACTCTGTGATCTTGGCCTCGCTGTTCTCTTTTCTCTAACTGGTTATGTTGTACAAGATCCGAAGACAGGACAGACTCTTGGGATCGGTCGTAGACATGGACGTCTGTATGAGCTCATCCACCTTCACATTCCCTTCTCCAATCTTTCCATTATCTAGACTGCTGCTCCTACTACTCCTAGTTCTCCTCTTGCCTTATGGCATTCTCGGATAGGTTATATTTCTTTTGGACGTTTATGATATCTAGTTTCCAGCGGTCAGTTAGGTCTTGTTCCCAATGATAAAGTAGATTGTCTATCTTGTCAACTAGCAACACAATCTGTTTTTCCATTTCCATCCAGTACTTCTATGTCTCATGCATCTTTTGATCTCATACACTCTAATGTTTGGGGACCGACACCTAATCCCACTATGGGGGGATCTAAATACTTTGTCATTTTTGTAGATGATTTCACTCGTTTTATCTGGTTATTTCTTATGAAGTCTCGTTTTGAGTTACCACAAATATACTATGATTTCTCATAAATGGTCAAAACTCAATTTTCTTCCACCATCAAAGTTTTCCATGTTAATAATGCCCAACAATACAAAGAAACAAATTTTTTGAGATTCCTTTGTCAAAATGACACACTTTCTCACTATTCTTGTCTTGGTACTTCCTAACAAAATGGTCATGCTGAACGTAAACATCGCCATCTTTTAGATACTGTCCGTGCTCTTTTAATTTCCTCTTCTTGTCCTGAGCGCTTCTGGGGAGAAGCCGCTCTCACAGCTACCTATACTATCAGTCATGTTCCTTCTCCTACCATCAACAATCACACCCCATATGAGCGCTTATATGGCCAACCTCCTGTCTATTCTCGTCTCCGTGTGTTTGGACGTGCTTGTTTTCTCCTTCTTCAACCACATAAGCATTCCAACTTAGAACCTCAAGCCCGTTTGTGTTGCTTCTTGGGGTATAGGATTGAACATAAAATCTATCGTTGTTGGGATCTTATTTCTCAATATCTTCGTGTCTCTCATCATGTGATATTTTGGGAAAACAAGATGTTCTCTTCTATATCTGATTTTCATTTGTTCACTCCTCTCACTACATTATTCTTTACAGATCCCACTCTTTTGTTTGATAAGCTTGATACATACACTACTTCTGGATCTTGCTCCGCCGCCTGGTCCTTCTAATGCTCCACTTTTTGATCCTACTCCTAGTCCTAGCCTGCTGCATTCGGCCTATCCTGAGGATCCTGCTCCGCCTCCTGGTCCTGTTTCTGAGGTACCTTTTCATCATTTTACTCAAGTAACACACCCTTCTATCCTTCTTCGTAATTTCATTTTGGTTCTACTACATTTTCCTCTCATGAACCTACTTCCTATAGAGAGGCTTGTTCTAACCCTTACTGACAACAAGCTATGACTGATGAACTACAGGCTTTTGTTAAAACTCATACTTGGGATGTGGTTGATCTTCCTCCTGGCAAAAGTGTTGTTAGTTGTAAATGGGTTTACAAGATCAAGACTCATTCTGATAGTTCTATTGAGCGTTATAAAGCTCGTTTTTTTGCCCAGGGGTTTACTCAAGAATATGGGTTGACTATGATGAAACCTTTGCTCATATTGCCTATCTGACTTCTTTTCGTAGCTTACTTGCCGTTGATGCTGCTCGCCACTGGAAACTTTGTCAGATAGATGTGAAGAATGCATTTCTGAATGGAGATCTCACTGAGGAAGTTTATATGCATCCTCTTCCTGATTCCACTATTTTTCCCTCCAAAGTCTGCAAACTTCGCCTCTCTTTGTATGGTTTGAAACAAGCTCCTCGTGCCTGGTTCACCAAGTTTAGCTCCACCATTCATGATTTTGGATTCTCCTCCAATGCCTATGATTCTGCCCTTTTTATTTGTAAGACAGAGCATGGTACTATTCTTCTTCTTCTTCTCTATGTGGATGATATGATCATCATTGGAGATAACACAATGGGTACCTCTAGTCTCAAACAGTTTCTCAGTCGCCAGTTTGAGATAAAGGATTTAGGTCTTCTTAGCTATTTTCTCAGCTTGGAAATCTCTCATGATCCATCTGGTTACTTTCTCTCCCAGGCCAAGTATACTTCTGATCTCTTGGCTCGTGCTAGTCTTACCGATTACGAGACTGCCTCTACTCCCATTGGTCCTCAAACTCGTCTCACACCTCTTGACGGTCACCTATTTTCTAATGCTATCGTCAGCTAGTTGGCGGTTTTGTCTATCTCATGGTTACTTGTCCAAACATTGCTTATGTTGTTCACATTGTTAGTCAGTTCATGGTTGTTCCTCACTCTCCGCAGTATGATGCTCTAGTTCGCATTTTACGATATCTCAAAGGCACTATGTTTCATGGTCTTCACTACTCCGCTCATTCTTCCCTACAGTTACATGCATTTTCTGATGCTGATTGGGCAGGGGACCCTTCTGATCGTCACTCTACTACAGGATTTTTCTTCTTCTTGGGTGTTTCTCTCATTGCCTAGCGTAGCAAGAAGCAAACTGTTACTACTCGTTTTACTACTGAGACTGAATATCGTGCTCTTGCTGACACAACTCAAAAGCTTCTGTGGCTTCATTGGCTTCTTTCTGATATGGGAATTCCTCATCCTGCTGCCACTAACCTCTATTGTGAAAATCAGAGTGCTATTCAGATTGCCTATAATGATGTCTACCATGATTGTACCAAGCATATTGAGATTGATTGTCACTTCATAAGGCAATATGTTACTAGTGGCACTATTCGTCTTATCTTTGTTCCCTTCGCTGATCAGACGGCTGACATCTTCACCAAGGCTTATCTTCCAGGACCATTTTCTGATTTACTTTACAAGCTCAACTTGATATATGCATTTCCACCTTGAGCTTGAGGGGAGGTTAATGTCATGACCCAAACCCATCCCTAAGGGTTTAGCATCGTAACCGGCCAGCAATCCGTGATTACCAAAGGCCTCCTTAACAATAACGACAATAATACAGAGTAAGGGGTTGGCGGAAGCCAAAAAGTAAATAAAAGATGTCCAATGAGCTGTGAAAATCTGAATAAAAAAAGACTTTCATGGACTAGTCCACATTCATAACCATAAACATATGTACATATATTAGATATACATAACATACAGGTTAGGGATCCAATCCCTTCACCGTAACTGTACAGTCAAAAGTCTTAAACATCATTACAAAGCCGAGACAAAAGGGTGAATCTGAGACACCCCAAAACAGCTTTGGCTTGAACGGACTCGGAACCTCGAAGGGAGGCACAATGGTTGGCTTGACAAAACGAGAGCTTAACTTGACGCTCCTAACTTTGGTCCTGTGCTTGGCCACCTACATATATATATAAACAGTGAGCTAAAGCCCAATGAATAACAAATGCATAAAGGGGTTAAGAATGAATGTCCTTTCATTAATTAAAACAGTCATTTGCGTCAGTAAATCAGTTATTCAATCAGTGGCTCATATTTCATGCCATATCAGTCATTTAGAAATCATAACAGTCATACGTGGTACGTCCGATAGTAAAACAGTACAGTAGGTCTTAAGAGACCGAACAGTCAGTTGATGGCCATCAAAACAGTAAACAGTAGTAGTTCTAGACATTGGAACTGACAAAGATCTCTGTAACAGTAGCAGTAACAGTAACAGTAACAATAAGTCGCTATGGATGCCACAAGTACAGTTCACAAATAAAACAAACATTCATTTAGTAAACAGTGTTACTTCAGGAAGCAGTACAGTCAGTCGTTTAGAAAATAATTAGAATTGAACATATCTTTACAATATTGTTACTCACAGATTACTGGGCTATAGATAGGCTAGTCAGCATCCTCGGGTGCTAACCCTACACAGTTGCAGAATGAACACACACTAAGTTACATACTTGGGATATGGGTTGGTGTGGTTCTATAACTTCATCCTCATTAAGATGCCTTAAACTTGGCCTGGGAATGCCTATGATGGAATGAGGATGCAAAAATGTACTTTAAAACACTTTTCAAAATTTGCTGAAAACAGGGGTCTCGCTCGAGAACGCTCGAGCGTGGCGTTCTACGCTAGAACGGACATGCAGACAAAGAAGCTTCGCTCGAGCGTGACTTTCCTCGCTCGAGCAGACTACAAACTCATGATAAAGTACTGGTTACACGTTTTTCATGCTCGATGGACGCTCGACCCTCGATCGAGCGTGAGACTCAGACCCTCGCTCAGACCCATAATACAACATGTTTCAAAGATCATTTTATAAAATCAAGCCCAAAGGTGTGACAATTGAACACAATTTTGAATGAAACTTGAAGAATAATGCAAGAACATAACATGCATAAGTTCTTATGAATTCCAATGCTCCAAAGCATGATCAAGTGCAAGATTGAGCTCAAAAACATGGTGAATTTCAAGAGTACAACCAAAATATGAACATGCATGTAGGATTTTCTCATGAAAATGATCTCAAAACTCAATGACATGGACATGCATGCAAACATTGCTACTCAATACAACACTTTAAGCTAATTCTTAACTCTAATCACTAATTCTCCATGAACCATGCATGTAACAACTCAAATTCATGATGAAGAGGGTGAATTTCCTTCCTTAAGTCTTGAATTCCAAGTATGGAAGTTTAATTTTGGAAATCTTCTTCAATTCCTCTAATTTTCCAAGCAACTCTTGAAGAAATCAAGTTTCCTTCCAACTCTCTATCTCTCTCACGGTTTTGGTCTTAGAGATGGATGAGATGATGTACCAAATGCATAAATTAAGTCCCAAACAATGTTTTAGAAAATGGCCCACTCAATGGCAAAATATGTAATTAACTAGGCTCAATTAATTTAACATTAATAATTCTAATTAATCATTCCAAATTGAATTTTAATTAAGCGTACCATAAAATCATATAAATCCTAATTAGCTTATAACACTAATCAATTTCTGAATCAGTCACTGATAAGGCTTTCAATTCGCAATTCGAAATTAAAACATGAACAGATCATTCAATGACAAACAGATAGAATGCAATTAAAGTAACGCACTCATGCAATCAATTTAGGATTTCGCCTTAATCCATTACTTATCATGCTTAATCACAATTTAACGCTAATCAGATGTGAGGGTTATCACAGTTAACTATAGCATATTCTCTGTATAGATATTCCTTATCTGTGTGGTACAATATATTCTCTGTATATACTTATCTTCTATCCTATATAAAAGAGTTTGTACTATTCATTGATCATTAAATTGAGCACAAGAGTTTTCTCTTTTGTCTTTATAATATCATAACAGTCTCATACCAATTATTGGTGTACTTATGCATGCCACAAGGCCCATAGAAAGATTTGTGGACTGGACTAGATTAACTTGAATCATTCTAAAATTATGATTCAGCTCGAAATTCTACCATGTGTTGTTTGTCGACATATTGGGGTAATTAAAGATTCCAGAAGCCTTATCATCTACATACTGGGTAAACTAAAACGCTATGACCCCATAAAATTTATGGATAGAATTTACAAATTAACTAGAGAGTCAAAATCAACTCAACACAGCTCAAAAAGATGAAGATATTTTTTCGGTTAGATAATTAAGTCTTGCTCTACCAATTAACACTGTATCTGTAGCCACAATCTCTATCACTAATGCCTTGGTACAAAAGATGAGACCCTTCTTGGGTTTGATTCAACAATCTCATTTCGAAAGAAGGTTGAAGCAATTATAGTCTGGAGCGAATTATTTTTGAAGCTTAAAATTTTCTTTCCCTCACCAAGTGAATAGATGATAGTAATAAACTACCAAGAATGAAATATTATAAAGCCAACCAAGTAACTTTGCAACTGCCAAGAGAAGAATTACCAGACGAATAATATGTCAATAAAACTTAAAGGAGCTAAGCATGCACCCATCAGACATTCTTCCATTTTGATTGCCAGAACATGTGGTAGAGGCTTCTGGTTGACAAAGGTTTCTTGCTTCTTCATTCAATTTCTACCAAGACAAGGCTTTGAAATGAGGAGAGCAAAAACCACAATAGCACAAAAAAGCGAAATAGCCTTTGAAAAAACTTTCATACCACTCGATCCTTATACTCACATCAATAGAAGGTTTAAAACTTTGAAATGACATCCGACCTTTTATTGCCCCTAGATGGGGATCACCTTGTACAATCACTTTGCTGCATACCCAGATAGCCATGGAAATTGGTTGGAATAAGGCATCATTGATAATATTAATAATTTCAATTACAGTTAAATTTAATGATTTCTATTGACAGAATGGATTTAGATACACAACCCTTAACAAGTAGAGGACAAAAAAAATTAAGACATGCCACAAGAAATTAGTTGGTGTTCATGGTATTGAAGTGATCTCAGTCTCGGCAGGGGCGGAGTTAACTGAAGAATATGAAATGCAGCAATAAACAATAAGCAATGCTCAAAAATATCCCAAAAAAACACACACAAAAAAACAAAAACAAAAAAAAAAACAAAAATAGTAGAAAGGATATATCGAAGCAGTATAAGTAATTGCATGGTCCAAAAGCCATTACAGCCTATCAAGTTTGTTAACTAGTAGGAAACAAACAGTGACTAATAACAATCTATATCATGCAAGTTACTGCAACATGTTGTGTAGTACCAACAAGAAAAAAAAAAAAAAAAAAAAAAGGGAAGAAGAAGAGAGAGAAAGGAAAGAAACGAGGAAGAAGAATATTAGACAAAGGGGGGAAAGAATTGTTCGAGAGAAGAGAGAGATATGCTAAGTCCTGGAAATTCAATATTATGCCCAAAATCTCCAACAATCACAATATAATCCAACCTTAGGTTCATAAGTGAATTTGTTTGATTGCAATTACTTCTTAACTAGCTCATCACTCATGTAATGTATGGGATAAAATAATATATTATTTATTAAAAATATGATAATTTTATTTAATTTTTTTAATATTTTGTCTCTCGTAAATAAAATTTTGTATATAAGTTTAAAGATTTTCTTTCAAATGTTCCTTTACTATAATATATAGTATAGATAGATTAAAATTGTTAAATTGACAATTAATAATTAAAATTATGCTTTGTTATAAAAAAATGACATAATTATAATACTTCATGATTTTAGAATAAAAATATATTAATTTTAAAAAATTATCATATTGGTTTTTGAAAGAGAAATAATTAAAGAAATTTTAAAAACTTAATGAGTAAGAAAGAATCATCGTAATATGTAAAATTGCTAAAATCACAGTTAAACCAGCAAATCATTTAAACCAAAAATGGTTTAGCTTAATCAATTAAGTCAAAAGACCAACAAGCTTACACAAAAATTAATTAATTAAAATTTTTTAATTTTATTTTATTAAAATTTAAACTATCACTAAATATGAAAAATAATCTATTAATTTAAATTTAAAATCGACACAAAAAAATTTAAAATTATAATAATCTATATCATAATTTATAAGATTTAAATATAAATTTAAAATTATCATAACTATCTCATAATTTTTGTATTAAGGAGTAGTAAGAGTGATATTGAGATTATCGATATATCTATATATTTTATAAAAGAATGCTTTTAAGGAGAGATATTATGAGAGTTTCAAAATCATACAAAATTATTTTTAAAATCAAAATCTCTATGTGAGATTGTAAAATAAAAGTTAAATAGAAGTTAGCCAATCGGGATTTTCTAAATTGTTTAAAATTAAGAAAATCAAAAAAATCTTATAAGATATTGATTCATGCAGCCGACCCCATTTGATGAGACTTAAGACTTGGTTTGGTTTGGTTTGATTTGGTAAATAGAAGTATAAGATTCACTTTATGTAAATGAAACAATTTACTTTTTTCTTCTTTTCTCGATGTAGGATTATAAAATAAAAGTTAAATGAAAGCTAGGTCAAAGTGAAAACGGTCCACCCTATCGGCTAGGTCAAAAGACCAACCAACTTATACAAAAATTAATTAATTAAAACTTTTAAATTTTATTTTAATTTTAAAATTTAAATTGTCTTAAACTGAAACATATACAACACTACAATATGAAATGGGAGCATAAGGTTTATATAGTGAAACAACGCATTTTTTCTTCATTTTCCCAATGTGAGATTGTAAAATAAAAGTTAACAGTTGTTTAGACGGGAAGTTCATTTCTAATCAAACAATCTCAATCGTTCAAGTTTTAATAAGGTTGATCTTAGTTTATTTCAAATCAAACAAATCTAAACAATATATTTTGATAAAACAACTAAAACCATGGTTAAACCCGTGAATCAGTCAAACCGAAAACGATTCAACCTAATCGGCTAAGTCAAAAGACCAACCAATTTACAACAAAATTAATTAATTAAAACCTTTAAATTTTATTTTAAAATTTAAACAATTTTTAACTGAAACATGTACAATACTATAATATTAAATAAGAGTATAAGATTCACTTTATATAAGTGAAACAATTCACTTTTTCTTTCTTTTCTCGATGTGAGATTGTAATTATTGTAAAGTTAATTATATGAGAGTTTCAAAATCTCATACAAAATTATTTTTAAGATCAAAATGTCTATGTGTGATTGTAAAATAAAAGTTAAATGAAAGCTAACTAATGGAGATTTTCTTAATTGTTTAAAATTAAGAAAATAAAAAAAAAATGGTACTGATTATAGAGTTTCTCACTAAAAATCTTCTTTTGCTTATATAAATGGAAATATAAGATTCACTTTATATAAGTGAAACAATTTACTTTTTCCTTCTTTTCCCGATGTGGGATTGTAAAATAAAAGTTAAATGGAAGCTAACCAATGTGAATTTTCTTAATTGTTTAAAATTAAGAAATTTTAATAATTTATATAAATTGGAGCATAAAATTCACTTTATGTAAATGAAATAATTCACTTTTTCCTCTCTTTTTTTCCCGATTTGGGATTGTAAAAGGAAAGGTAAATGGAAGCTACCCAATGAGAATTTTCTTAATTGTTTAAAATTAAGAAAATTCAATAATTTTATAATGAGGGTTTGGAGCTTTTAGAACGCTTCTCTCTTAAAACCCCCTTTATACGATTCACTTTATATAAGTGAAACAACTCACTGTTTCTTTTTTTCTCAATTTGAAATTATAATTATTTTAAAGTTAAAAATTAAGAGAGTTTCAAAATTTCATACAAACTTATTTTTAAAATCAAAACCTCTATGTGGGATTGTAAAATAAAAGTTAAATGGAAGCTCGCCAATGGAGTTTTTTTAATTATTTAAAATTAAGAAAATCAAAAAAATAAGTATGAGCTATTGATCATAGAGTTTCTCACTAAAAATCTCATTTTACTTATATAAATAGGAGCATAGGATTCACTTTATGTAAGTGAAACATTCACTTTTTCTTCTTTTTTTTTCAATGTGGGATTGTAAAATAAAAGGTAAATAGAAGCTAATCAACAGGAATTTTCTTAATTATTTAAAATTTAAAAAGATTCAATAATTTTAAAATATGAGTTTGAAATTCTTAAAAAGCGTCTCCCTAAAAATCTCATTTTTTTTTATATAATATATAGATAGATATCAGCCACCTCGGCAATGTATTAGTTGACAAGGGCCAGCTAATGGAATTCTAATCCTTGTGGTGCTAGAGCTACATTTAAGTGATCACTATGTAAAAAAAAAAAAAATTTAAAAAATCATTTTTTTTTTTTAAATTTTAAGGTTGGCATGTGTTTTATACTTTAATTTTCCCCCAATATTCTCACTCAGTAAAAATGTGGATTATTGTTGTTCTCTAATAGCATGTTTGTTTGGTGGGATTAAAAGGTGGGATCAGACTAATAGTCCATCCGAACTAATAGTCCGTTGTTTGTTTTAAATTTTTTGCACCGAACTATTAATTCCAAATCTGTTAGACTATTGTATCCTATGGGGGGGTGAGACACAAATCATGAGATAACTTATAACGCCCTCAAAATATAATACCAATAAGTTGTTCGTAAGATCTATGAACATAATGAAAATGTTCTACTATCATTCATCAGAATTTGTATTACAAAATGTATTACATGTATTATACTTTCATAAATGTTCTTTCTGAAACTACAACATGTAATACTAGTTGGTTACAACAAAATAAACGCCCTACGGCTCATACCTTTCCAAGATATCACGTGGTTACAACAAAAGAAAGAGTCCTAGCTCTATACATATGAAGCCCTCGGCTTGAGTAAACATTTAACACAAAACAAAATAACAAAATGGAGCCTTCAGCCCCTAAACTTCCCAACCTATGGTCTTGGAGGCGGCATGTCTCATGTACCTGAAAATGGTTTTCCCAGTAAGGTGAGCCAAAGCCCAGTAGAGATATGCTAAAACAGTATATTAGATTTAACTAAGATACAAGCATTCAATAAATGTGCAATATTCATAACCAACACATATTCTTTCCAAGACCATTCAATATAGATAACCATACCTCAATCCATTTCCATTCATCCATTCCGGATTAATCTATTTACCAAATTCATTATCATCTAGTCAACCAAAATGAGACTACAACTCAGTGGTTTATAATTCAATACATTCATCAATCCAACACTTCTATTTTCTTTCCATTTTACGGAATTCACATCCGAGGGAATCGGCACCCATAAATATAAGATTTTGGGACTTTCACCCTGGACACTCCGGCCAACTTTATTTTCAATGGAGTCCATCCCCTATCTCCTCCCAAACAATGGAGTACATCCCATATCTCCTCCCAAACAACGATACATATACAATGTATTTAAAAGAGTTGTCATATACAATGACTAACTAAATCACATATTCAATAGTTTAATCAAACCGTCATATTCAATGACATAATTCAAATGATTAGTTTCAATTCACCTAATCTTCATACAGTTTCTACAACAATCATAGCTATCCTCCACCGATAGCCCTAAACAGATATTTCTAAACAGATCTACAATTCATCAAATAGATAATTTATCAATTTCCAAAGGTGAGTGATTTAACAAATCCAACTACACCATTCAATTATACACCCTTCTAATTTTATATTTCCCACATCAATTTCATTATTTATTCAAAATAGTTCTTTAACACAAATTAGGGCAAAACCTACCCCTTCTTTCCAATACCAAACCCAAAGCCAAATTTCATCATTTCAACCCAAGAAACCTCATATTCAACACTCCTAATATGTATTCATGGAACCCAATGAGGAAACCCCTCTTTTAAATTTAGGTTCCAAACCCTAACTTCACCCAAATCTTTCCAAATCCCATCATTTATGCAAAATGACAAATACCTAGGTTAAAACTCATATTAAAGAGTAGAATATCATTACCTCAAATGTAGAAGCTCAAAGGAGATGAAGA